CTAAGAAGAAGGATAAGCAGAAGTGTAAAATGGGAGGTGGGGCGAATGTGGCTATAGTGTCGAGTAATGACCCTAGGAAGGTTTATTGAGAATAAAACTAGTTATTACATATGCATCTTTGCGTGATCCTTTTTGCATGTGTGTGATTATTTAATTCTATTGCATGATTATACGTTGCATTTTCAATGTGTTTGATATGTACATTTGCATGAACTTGAGAGGAATTTAATTACTTTGTATGCTTGTTTGCATGCATAGTGGTTGAGATGAGCAATAAGTGTGTTGTCTGTCTATTGGTGAGGTGGAATATAGATATCTAGAGGTACATTGTAGTTTGTACCAGGGATGTGAAGTATGACATTTGGATCACAAATGGAGAGGTGATTACATATTGTAATCATTTATTTGTAAAGGTCCTGATTAGATAGAGTGTGAGAGATGCATTTCTATCACTTTGGTTAGGTGGAGACACATTACCCACTTAGGTTGTAAGAATTGATGTGGTGATATAGGATTATTTCGTAGACTTAAGAATCTATTGTTATTTACCAATTAGATATGAGTTAAGTGATCGGTCTAGTAAGTATGGTGGGCGATGAGAGGAAATATGTGTTCTCGATGTGAGAGTAACACGGAATGAGATATGATACGTGTGCGCGAGATCCTTTCATGGGATCATTTATGCATTTATTGCATATGTGTTGACCGTTTGATTGATTAACTTGGTGTTAATCTATTGTTCTGTGTGAACTTATTTCGAAGGGATATGTGTTAAAATCCTATGTTAAATTTTACGCATGTTTATTTGCTCTCGATTGTTTTACTAGTATTATCTGCTTCTACTTTGGTGTTCTTGACCTTAGCTCTGGTAAGTACATGGAGCAGGCATGATATGTCTTTTGAGCCCGAAACATGAGGTAAAGTCCATGATCCCAATTTTATTAATTATCTTGATTATGCAAGTACTAATTGCGTGTTTTGATTGTTTGATACATAATAAATTTCGGACAATGATGTTAAACAATTTGGATTACATTTTATAGGTCTCGACTGATGAGTTAAATAATTATCAATATAATTAATTAAAATGCCCGACTCGAAAGTAAGCCGGCCATTAATAGCAACTTAATTAATTAATGGAAAAATTCATATGTCAGGTGTATTGTTTACACCCATTCACAAATCAAGTACAAAGTTTAAAAATTAAAAATTCAGATTTCTGTATAATTAATTGAAAATATGTATTAATTAAATATAATAAAGTCACAATTAAACGATTAATGATCACAGATTCATAGTTATTGGTCACAGATTTACTTATTGGTCACATATCATCGAATTAATTGGTTACATATTATTTTGAATTTACAAATCAAAAAATTTGTAGGTCACATATAAAAAGTTTAAAGGTCACAAATTATTTCATTGATCACAGATATTAAAAAATTACAAGCAATAGGGTCACATGTTCAAATATTTATGGTAGTTGGTCACATGCACCAAATACCCCCACTACCGATCCCAATCCAGCACCAATTTTGGTCACAAATCACCACTACGCAATTGCCGCAGCTTCCAGGTCACAAGTTATAGATCACGTTATATCGCAAGTCACACTTTGCATTGATAATACGTAACAACAAAATATATTTGATTGTAGCTCCCAAATTACATCTTTAACTAAAGAAAAATGTTTTTGAAGAATTTATACAGCAAAAAATTGATTACAGAAAATTCTGTCTTTGTAAGTACAGAAAAAATTAGGAAATTATACCCAATATTATATTTGAAACTCCCCTAAATCGAAATTCAAATAAAATGAAAGATTGCACTTTCCAACAAACAATTAAGTTTCAAAACAAATCTAATTTTTAACCTTTTAAAACAAATAAAATAAAATACAAAGAATAACACTAAATCCTTTACATTTCTCCCTCATTCGTCACACTATTCAAAAACAACAGACCATGCACACACTTTCTGCATCATTTCACGCACACACATTAGATAGACACTGAGTGTGAGACAACCATGGCTTTGTTTTCGAACAATCTGGTGACTTATCTGTAAGATTAGATGTCTGATGCTGGAATCCTTCTTTAATAAATAGTGGCGTACTTCAATGACGAAAATAATTTCTTATCTTTAATCCTGTAATAATACAACTGCCTTAGGCACTTCTCTTTCACTGCAGCAAATATGCTGTTGCTCGACTCTCACATCTTCGACGGCGGCGGCGCTCCTCAACATTGACGGTTATCGATGGAGGGTAGAAAGAGAGGAGAAGTTGGCGTGGGAAGAGAGACGGGATTGAAAATTGAAATGGAAGAAATAATTACGGTTTTTAATTGAATTGGAGATTAATTATATACAGTATTTGAGTTTTGCATAAGTAAACTTCATCCCTGAATTTTGAATTTGAAAATTTAAGTACTTGGTTTTATGTAATTTTTCCATTAATTAATGATGCCTTGGCCCAAATTTTACTTGCTGGATGGCTTCTATATTGTTGATCTATTTAGTATGACCTAGCCCATTTTAATTACAACCTAATTCTATATATATCCATCTCTACTGCTGTAGAAAAATCATTACTTTGCAAGGGGAAAAAATTGTAGCCGTTCACCTTGTTATCCTCTCTCTTTGTGCTTGAGTATAACCATATTCTTCCATTATTTTTCCTACTCTTTGAGACTCGCAAACTTATCACCATAACCTTGTCTAAGTGGGTTTTTAAGCTATATATCTTCTAAAATACATCGATATACCTAAAATATCGTTTTCAAGAAAAATATGAAATGTTCTATTTAGTTTTTATAGTTTAAGTAAAATTTAGCTAAAAATAATATATGTTAGTTCATTAAAATATTTATTCCTTCAATGGTAGTCATATTATATAATATATGCCATGTTCGTTTGATACATTAATAATTACAATACTTCAGAATAATATCATAATAGTACGCACTGTTTAATTTCTATTCTTGTAAGATATATTACATTCACCTGCTTACAATCCATTACTTAAATTCGATCACTATCAAATAAATAGGAGAATTGTTTGACGTAACTGTGTTTCATAAATGCATGAGTAGTACTCTTTTGAGTTATCTAAACTCAAATCTTGATTAAATATGTATGTTGATATGTCAAATAACAATGGTAGATAAATACAACTGTAAAATGTGGCCCCCATCTAGGCTTTGAAATTGTCAATAAATTTTATTTCGAATATCCATTTCATGTCATGGAGCATATTATCTGTCAACTTGTAAGATTATCAAAATATCTCAAAGACAGCTTAATACAATTTCGTGGACACAAACAACCAGTGACCTAAAAATCGTTCAACCACAAAAAGAATTTTGTTGTATCCATATGGTATTGGCACTTTTAAGTGATATTTTTGGTTCTTCTCAATTTGTAATAATATTAATTTTCCAATTTTATAGTACCTCGCTTGTTACAATTCACAATTTTTTGGAGCACGATTTCTGTTGGATGACTTCATAGGTTAAGAGAAACCATGATTCAGAATAGAAGACTCAAAACAATCAATTTCAAGTTTAGGGTTCTCACCAACAAAACATTTCCCTTAGACCTCTATCGGAAATTCGTAAAACATTTTTTTTTTAATTTTATTCTCAAACACATCGAAAAATAAAAACAAATAGGGGCCCATGAGGTTTGTGGACATCCTCTTACTCTACGTCGTAATAATGCACTGCAATGTCCAAATCATTCTCAAGAACCACTAAATTGTGCAATACTCTTTTTATTTTTTATGATCAGACCTTTTTTGTCCTAGACTAGATATTTACGTACAAACGATAAGATTTTTGGAGTCCGTACGTTTGGCAAATTTTTGGTTTACGAGTGGATCTGAATTCAAGTGTACTTGGCACAATTACCAACAACTCCATAACCCGACAAAGCTTTGTCCTCCTTGGTACGATTACAACGTTTTCCTAACAAATCAAATTCGATTTTTCTACCCAATTAAATATATTTAACAAACGCTTCTTGATTTCGTTGCCTGAAGGATATTTGTTTTATTAATTATTTCCAGAAGATACATTATTATATATTATAGTTGTGCCTACGTTAGGTACGAAATTGTATCTGATAAAGAAACATTCAACCTTGGCATATCAAGAATTTCAATTTCGTCAATAAGTATTGCCCACCTCAAGACCAACAATTTGGGTATCGGGAGATCCATTCGTTCGTAGACTATTTTATCGACCGCAAACATTTTTGGGAATACATTTAATATACGAACAAATATTCAGTTGTAAAAGAACTTTGTATTGACCCTTTTAAATATAGACCCATTTAATTCAGATAGAAAGATGATTCAAATATGAGTACTACTAGCAGCTAACGTCGTGAATGAAGTACAAAATTATATTGTCGAGCTCGAACACATTGATGGTGAAATTTTGTTATGGTACTACTATTTAGAGGTGATTCTTCAACAACTAAGATATAAATAAAATATCGACTATGAGGGACCTACTTGTAGAACACGATAGTCTGCCAAAAATTCTAACTCGTGCTACTCTCTAAAACACCATATATCAAATCCAATTTACGATAGCGTACCATTTTAAATACTCTCTCTTAGCCGACTTAAATAACTAAGAGACAAAGATACCACCTCTTTGGCGCTTTTATCTCGAATTTCTTGAATATCTTGCTTTGTTCAATATTAATAAGAGTAATATTATTCATAGTCCTTCATTGTGGTAATCGCCCTAATGTGATATCTTATATGACGGCTCGTGATCTGATATATTAATGTGGTAGTTTTTTGTCACATATATCAAATCACTAACTATCACATTTGTGCTACTATGGATGACTACGGTAGTTAGTGAATGCAAATAGCATTATGCTATTAGTAATAATAATAATAAATATATTAGAAAATAAAGAAATGAAAAGTAAAAAATAGATTATGAGCAGTAACGGTTTACTATAAATAGTTAAATACCTCTATCATCCGTTTCATCCTTTGCAACTTAACAATTCTTCCGCTCGACCGTATAAAATATTCCAGAATTCTCCAGTTCTTTATATATATACACACATATCTACGATCATAATCTTCTCTCTCTCTCTGATACATACAAACAATTCTATTTCCTCCTCCTCTAAATTGATCAAGATTTTGTTGATATTGCATGGCAGTGAGTTTCCTGAATCGAGAAGTATCAGATTTGTGCCTTGGAAAGCCGGCGCTTAGGTGGATCAACGCGGACGCCACCGTCTCCGAAGCCTTGACGGCGCTGAAGAGATCTGAAGAGACCTATTTGAGCGTGTGGAAATGTTGTGCTGACGAGTCTTGCGTATGCCTGGGGAAGATTTGCACGGCGGATGTGATTTGCTTTCTTTGCAGAAAGGAGAATTTGGTCAATCCTTTTAAGGCTTTTGAGGCTACGGTTTCTGATATTTTGCCGAAAGGAGTTTTTGTTGTCAGGCATTTGGATCCTAAATCCAGGTTCGTATCTTTGTGTATTTTGTTTTTTTTAAAAGAAATCTTGTTAAATTTTTAGACGAAATGGTTATGATGTAGAAATGTTTTTTGATTTCTGCATATATTCCTTGTTTGACCTTAAATTTTAGATTAAAGATTCCCCTTTTCTTGAATTATAATGGTTTTATGGATAAATTAAATTGGGTGCTTAGAAAATATGTTGGGGAATTGTATACTTATTTTCTTGAATGCTATATGAGCAGGTTTTGATGTTTCTTCAAGTATGAATATGTTGGAGGTTTTTTTTTTTTTTTTTTGATCTTCCATTTCTTTGTACAGTCAACAATATAATTTAAATAAATGAGTTTGTTCTCCTTTTAATAGCCTAGATTTTGACAAGGTGATTTAACACATATTAGAATTGTTAGTATTCTCGTTGAAGACAGTCTATTTTTGAAAATGAACATATTGCTGATTTTGTGAAACGGTGAGCATGAGGAGTGCGTTGAATATGTAATTTGCCTCCGTTGGAAAGAATTAATTTGTAAATAGATAAAAATAAACAGGGGATAAGTTAATAATATTTGTAAATATTTTATAATTTGGCCAGATGGGTTTGATAATAATTTACAAATATAATCTATAGATAATTTATAATTTGTTCAGATGGGTTTGATAAATACAATTTTACCCGGAATGACTTGGACTTTTAGATGTGGCGTCCATTCAGTCAAGAATTTGGACAAATTCAGATATACGTGCAAGAAAGATTTTTCATGGGTAGCTTAATAAAGTTTTCTACGACCTTTGTGAATTAAATCATTTGTAAAATTTCTCAATTTACAAGAAAAACTGTTTTCTTGGGTTTTTGCTGCTAAATCGTTTAAGGTTTCTTTGGAAATCATTATGTGAGTCAATAGAAAAAATGTCTTGATCTTTCTTGTTTCTGTATATTTCAGCTTGTTGGAGGCAATAGATTGCATCCTTGAAGGGGCTCAGAACCTGGTGATACCCATTCAAAACCAGAAAAGCACATATTCAAGAAAGAAATTCCTCAACAAACCATCCTCATACTGTTGGATAACATCGGAAGACGTCATCCGGTTCCTTCTCAATTCTATCGGAATCTTCTCCCCGATCCCGACCTCAACTATTGAATCGCTGAATGTCATTGAACGAGACATCATGACCGTGCACTACCACGATCCTGCGATATCTGCATTGGATTACATTACTCGTGCTCTTGTGCAGCAAACGTTGGTTGCTGTTGTTGATGTTGAGAACAGAATAATAGGAGAAATTTCGCCCCTCTCTCTTGCTTGTTGTGATGAAACAGCTGCAGCAGCCATTGCTACTCTTTCGGCCGGTGATCTCATGTCGTACATGGATTACGGTGGTCCACCAGAGGATTTAGTCGAGATGGTGAAAATGAAGCTGGAAGAGAGAAATTTTGGGGCAATGTTGGAACTAGTGGAGGAATACGCTCATTCTACAGTGTCATCTTCGTCTTCTTGTTGTTCTTCCGAAGACGAGTTGGGTCCCGTGTCCAGTTCGGGGTCGAGTAGGCATGGCAAGGCAGGGCGGCATTTCCCTGCGAGGAGTTCCGAGACGATTTTGTGCAATCCAAGGAGTTCTTTAGTGGCTGTAATGATCCAAGCACTTGCACACAGAGTGAGCTGTATTTGGGTTGTGGGAGAGGATCATACTTTGGTTGGAGCTGTAACATTTGCCGGGATGTTGAAAGTCTTCCGGAGTGTCGCCAGAGATCATAAACCGGAGAGCGGGAATTTGTTTATGCAATAACAAATTCAACAGAATTAAACAGAATCATTTTATATTAAGTGCATGTTTGATATATGGATTTGATAGTATAATGAACAACATATTTAATACTATTCATTGCTATCAAATATTCCTGGAAAAAATGGCAAAAGTGATTATTGGAAGAAAGCTATCTTGATTGAATTTGAATAGAAAAGTGCCCAGTGGGGCTTTGCAGTGCAATTTTTTTCTTTTCTCTGCAGAATGTCTGGAATTTAATAATGTCATGTGTGATGGAAAGAATTGAAATATAGCCATTACAAGAATTGAAATATTGCATTGATTAACCTTACAAAGTTCTAGAGACGGGGCGGTGGGAATCCTCAAAGTTGGGGTTCAACCGTTATAGCAACAATTCAAGGTTTTGCCTCCTGGGACATAACTGAGTGATGCAAAGGATATGAATGAGGTTATCTCATGCCTTGTTGATAGTTGCAGTGTGGGGTTCGATTCCTGAGACATGGAATTTGACTCCTTGTAGGTGCAGTGTAAATACAGCTCTTGTTCCCTAGCATGTTGGAGCACATTCCATGATTTACCTCCCTCACAAAGTCCTAGAAACGGAGCGGTGGGAGCCCTCAAAGTTGGGGTTCAACCTTTATAGCAGCAATTCAAAGTTTTAAAATGTTTTTAAGGCGTTGCAAAGAGGTAGGGTCAAGCTCCAAGCCTAACGAGTTCTGCCGTGCATCGCGAAGACTTTTGTCGCTTTGTTTCTGCCTAGCTCAACGAGAATCGATGTCCTTGCGTGGACGTCTCACTCATAAGACTCCTTGCCATTCCATTGCCATTCCTCGCCATGATCGTTTTATTTTTTGCTTCTGTTTTTTTTATCTTCAAGAACTGACTAATAGTGCTATTCCTTTTGTCTTCCCTACGAGAGTATATATGGGCCATATGGGTAGTGGCCTTGAGATTATACGAATCACAGCTATGCCATGAGAGTGGGGATGGCCATTGATGGTCTTGTGCATCGATGAAGTCTAGATCTAATAATGTGTTTCCTTATTTTTAATATTATCTTAAGTATGTTTAACTTAAAAAATAAAATAAAAAGGCGAGCAACTTTTTACTCCTAGACTCACATTAGTCCTGTCTTTTAGCGCTTAAGACTGCACTAATCACGTTGGTGCTTGTCCTGCATCGTAAGGGGTAAACGATGGCCTTTTTAGTATCCTTTTCATATGTAAAGTGCTTTCTTCATATCTCTGTTTAGACTTCGCCTTTCTGTTACTTTTTAGAACATTGTATATATAATGCTACTAAGACGGACTACGTTAGCGGTGTAAAGTGAACTGCACGTCATTGTCCATATTCATGGAGAACCTCTATCGTCCACTCTCGTGAGAGGGTTTTTGTGGAAAGAATATGTGGTTTTCGTAGACTGAATGCCATAAATTTCATTGACATGTGCTCAAGTTAAGCACTCTTTGTCATTTGTTTGTTAGGAAGGGGACCAGAACTTTTCATTTGAGGAAATTAAACAAATGAAAACAATTGCTTGGTCCAATATTCAGTGCCGCGATATTTATATCCACCAATGATAGTAGAAATAAAACATGCAATAATGCCCCACGGACATAGCACACTGGTAAAGTAGGAGAGTTCTATACAGAGTATAGGAGGTTCGAATTTTCGCGGCATCTGGAAAGCAATTGTCCTGTGGAGGCAAAGTTATGGTGCATTTTATCGCCTCTTCGGAGGTCCTGTCCGCATGTCGTAAAGGGAGGTCTACTAGGAGCAGAATCGCATCCCGAATATCCTGTCCAAGTGTATATAAGATGTGACCGCATCTGGATTTACCTGAGTGGCGAACTAGGGGGAAAGCCCGCCACTCCTCAGGATTAGTCAAGCGAAACTTGGACACTTGAGTTATCAAAAAAAAATAATAATAAATAAATAAAAATAAAACATTCTATAAGTTTAAACTTAAATTCAAAGCATTTGTGTGGTTTAAGCCTATATGATTTAATGTCTTAAAAATCATTCCGTTTGTTAAGTTGTGGAACCTAATTTTTCTCATATATAGGTCGTTATTAGGGTGTATTTTTTTTTTTAATCATCAAAAAAGAGAAGATGACATATTCTCAAATTTATAAGGTTAATCTCAATAATTTCTTCTTATTATTATTATTTTGTATCTCTATTTTTTACTGTGATTTTATATCTCTTGATGGTATAGAATAAGAGTTTCTAATCTCTAAACACTTTATAACATGGCTTCATCCTCATAAGATAAAAAATGGTAAACAGAAAGCATCCACAATGATTTCATAGAAAAGACTACAACAATATTCTCATCAAATTGATAAGGATCACATCTATCTTAAATCATTTTCTTTCACATAAATATTTTTCTTAAAATGTGATAATGATGTTAAAAAATACTACTATTAAAATTCATAAGAATCATAATATGCTTATATAAACTAAGGAAAAGCTACCTCTTTAGAAAAGAAAATTGAAACGATAATATCTTATTTAGGGTAATGCTATCTAGCAAGTAATGCTTTGCATCAGTTTAGTTGGGAGTTGAGGCCTAGCTTTAATTGGTCAAAGAATCAAAATAGTTAACGGTGGAACCACATTGTCACCTAAAGCACAATTGATGTTAAGTAATATTACTCATTTATTATGATGATCACACTAATCCACCCTATTAAGTATTAATTACATTAATTTTAGATTTGGATTGGGGCTATAAATTGAACACAACTCACGGTACAAAATGTTGGAAAATTCCAACATATATGGGGCCACACATGTATATAAATCAAAATGTGTGTTGCTATCTTAAAGTTTTTAATCCATTAAAGTGATCCATCGAGTTTAATTTTGGACTTATTGGTATTAAGTGTTATGAGATTAAAGTGTAGAGACCGATTGTTGTTTTAAATTGATGAGGGGCCAATTTAAAACAAATAAAAGATGATAACTACATGCAGTTATTTATCATGAGGTCATGGTCCCCAACTGCACGTGAAAGTTTTTTCCAGATTCTCTGCATCTTCATCAACAGTGAGTTTTTCAAGAATTTCAAAGGAAATCACGTAACAGTTGGAAGATCATAACCCGAACAAAATCAATTACAATTTATGGATCAAGGTACGCTTCCGCTTTCATTATGTTCTCTTTGAATTCAACATGGATCAATTATGTGAAAGGATTGTATTTTGGATTATTAGTTCTTTTCAAAACTGGATTAAAATCTTACACAAAACTCCATCTTTATCTAATCAATGGCTTCACATAACTTGGTCATTTCGTATTAATTTTCTTGACCATTCTATCATTGTAATTCCTAATGAATGCAAGTAAATTTTATATGCCTCTCGATCATTGTAATTCTCTTCTTTCTTTTAATGTTGATTCTCATTTGTTGTCACTGTATTTCAATCATATTGTCATACATTAGAGAGTTGAAATAAGACGAATTGCTTTGCCTAGAATAATTGATTTAAGTTGTTTCAAAATTGATTATTTTTAGAGAGGATCTACTAATGGGAATTTATTTAGCTGTTTCAAAATCATCTGTCTCTTTATTCATCATGAAGGAATGTTCTTCATTGGCCAAAGCAAAAAACCCAACTTTTTTCATTTTTTTTTTGAAACAAAACCACATTTTGATTCTTGATAATCACTTATCAATCTCTCTCTCTCCCCTTCTAAATATATTTATTTTTTCAGTAGGTAATGACAGGATCCTGGTTGGAAACGTTAAAAGCAGCAAATTGTTCGTGGGAACTGTGAAGCAGGCATAGAGTGTTGGTGTTGCATGCTCAGTAGGCGATTCTGTTTACGAAGTAAACAAGAATTTGTTGATTCAGGGTGTCCAGCTGCTGCTTCTCTGCCCTCACAACCTCTCTCATCATAGCTTTATCAATTTCTGTGTGATAAATTATTTGGATTTCTATTATACTTGTACATAATTATTGCACATAGTGGTGTCCATAAATATGGTGTGGGATATATATAGCCCAATTATAAAAATTTCTTAATGAGATTTTAGTAATCAAACCGGTTACCAAGGAAAATTATATTAGAAAATTGTATTTACACAACAATTTTTATTATTGTACTGCATTTTAATTGCACTTAAAGTTTTCAACCTTTACTCATTGTAATATTTTTTGTGCTCAACTTTTTTGATCATGTTTTTATTTCCAACCTTTCATTAATTAGCACATATTATCTCTAATAACTAATTTCGTTTGAAGGGGAATGACATAAAATGACTTAAATATTCATTTTATTTTTAGAAAATCCATAAATATTAAAGTACGGTTATATATTTTCCTCTTTTCAAAGCATCCAAAACGGAATATTTTGGCATAAATTGTCATCAAGGATGAGATGTGCTATTTCATTTAATGAAAGATTAAAGATAAGAATTCGACATAGAATCAAGAACATAAATGCTACAATGATTAAAGGTTGAAAACCTTAAAATGCAATTAAATTATGGTCAATATAACTACCCTATATTAATTTCACCTTTTTATCTGCTATATAAGGAAAATAAATTAATGCTATAATAATTTCAACATCCTGTCTATTATTTAGGGGTAATTACATTAGTTTGGGACTTGGAATTGGGACTATAAATTGAACACAACTCATAGTTCTCTAATCAATGGCTTCATATAATTTTGGTCATTTCATTATATTGTTTGCAACCATTCTGTTCCTGTCACTCCTAATGAATGTGAGTCTACTTCATATGCCTTCTCCTTCTTTCTTCTAATTTTGATTCTAATATTCTTTTCATTGTATTTCCATCATGGTGTCATATAGCTTAGAGTGAGTTTGGCTAAGCTTAAAATTTGGCTTATTTTATGTTGTATAGCAAAATTAAAACTCTAAATGTGATATCTGGATATTTTAAAAAGATTGACAATAAATTGTTTCAAAATTGATTATTTTTTCTATCTATTTGAGAGGTGCTCTATAAATGGTAAATTCTTTAGTTGAGAATCATCAAATTTTAAAAAGGGTCAACAATTGTTTAATTTTTCTTCATTCATTTGAGGGTGTTCATAAATGGTAAATTCTTCAATTTAGAATCATCCGAAGTTGTTTCAAAATTGATCGTTTATCTCTCAAGCCATGAAGTATATTATCAAAAGTTTTGTGAAGAATTGTCTTCATTAACAAAAACAAAAAATCTTGTCCTTAACTATGAATTC